CCTCCTCCATTCTCTCCGTAAAACACTTACCCCAAAAAACTTTTTCTTCTTCTTCTTCTTCTTCTTCTTCTTCTTCTTCTTCTTCTTCTTCTTCTTCTTCTTCTTCTTCTTCTTCTTCTTCTTCTTCTTCTTCTTCTTCTTCTTCTTCTTCTTCTTCTTCTTCTTCTTCTTCGCTAAAAAACAAAACTCTCACTCACCTCCCCCGTTCTTGTAGCAGAGATAGGGAAATCTCCAGACATTCCCGAGCCCCACAGAGAAGCCGATACAGGCTAGGAGGAAGTCGAAGGCCCTCCCCCACGTCTCTCGTTTGTTGAGCCCTTTATCGGGGCTGTCCACTTCGTCTTGTTCCGGCTGTTCCTCATCCTTACTCATGGCGGGGGGCGGGGTCCTGGCGCTAGGTCGTGCGCGATGGTAGGTTTGGGGGTCGTGGTGAGTACTGAGTACCGTGTGGCGGCAGCTACGGCAGTGGTGGTGGTGGTGTACTGTTGTCCTTCCGTGTACGGGACCACTCTGCTCCTTTGTTGAAAAGACGAGAATGAATGAATATATAAATGAATGAATGAATAAATGAATAAATGAATGAATGAATGAATAAATGAATGAATAAATGAATGAATGAATGAATGAGTGAATGAATAAACCAACCAATCGATGAATCAATGAATAATTAAATACCTAAATAAGCTAATCTAAAAAAAATCTAAAAGAATAAATAAGTAAAAAGAAAAAAAGTTAAAAATATATAAAACTAAAATTTCGTTAAATTATTAACAAAGTAAATTAACTTTATTTTAGTTTTAGTACGAGTTTTTGGACGCTGGCAACGCGAATAGGCCACATGCATGCCGAAGACAAGAGATATTACAAGGGAGTAACAATTTTTTTTTAAAGGAAGTGAGAGATTAAGAAGAATACACGTCTGAGAGGAAAAAAGAATCGGTTAAATAAAACCTCCCCCCTCACGGGAATCCAACTGGCATCTTCTGCGAGCTATGGCAAAAGGCCTAACCGCTACACCATATGCGCCGGTCATATATTTGAGCAATACTACTACATACACAGTTAATCCCACTGCACAAATAGTAGAAGCTTTTGGTAATAGAAGGTTACGATCGTTTGAAATTGCCAGCTATAATGTTCTTATTTGAGTTTCTCGAACTGGGATGAAGAGGTTTAGTTTAGTTTTAGTAGAGGTTTTACGGCGCTCGCAACTGCATAAGGTCATATGAGCGCCAGAAGATTAGAGGTGTTACAAGAGAGTAACAAACATAAAAAAGAAGGAGGGGAGATAAGGACAATAGATGTTTGATAGGAAAGAAGGAGCAAACCACACCAGAGCACCCGTCAACCACCCACTGAAGAGGTTTGAAAAACCCAAAGGTTTAATAGTGTGTGAAAGCAATTAATACGAAGATTTCATCGTTGTTGTTTGTTAACACCCTATGTGCCTCCTAGAACGCTCAGATCATCAAGTGACAAAACAACCCATGTTAAGCCTAAAATAAATTACAAATCATATGACCAACGCTCTTTTTCATATTTTGCCCCACGCGTTTGGAATAAGCTTCCAAAAACTATCAGAGAAGCAGAAAATCTAGAAATTTTAAAGAAGAAACTAAAAGCATTTCTATTTTCATCATATTTCGATTAGACAGAATCCGTCCAAGCTGTAGATCGCTGTGAGTTTGTATGTGCGTATGTGCATATGTACGTATGTGTGTATGTGTGTATGTATGTGTGTGTGGTGCGTGCGTGAATGAATATGTGTTTGCACGAGTATGTAACACTATGTACCTTTAAAATTGATTTGTAAATCCATAATATGTATCATGTTAAGCGCATAGAGCATTGCATAAGTGGATATGCGCTATATAAATGCAATCCATTATTATTATTATTATTGTCTTCCTCTACAAAAAAGAAAAAAAAGAAAAAAGAAAAAGAAGAAAAGAAAAGAAAAGCAACCCAAAAATAACGCGTTGATGGTCGAGTGGTAGATCTAAAGGAACACGGGTACGTGTGGAAAGTTTTCAAGCAATGTCAGTGCCACGACTTCTCGCCTGCTGCACGCTGTCTCACGTGATTTAAAGCAGGGGCTAGTTGACCCAAACAAAAACAGAAACTGAAACAATAGAAACAAACAACAAAACTACCCCCCCCAAAAAAACAAAACAAAAACAAAAACAACAACAAACAAACACAAAAACCCCAAACAAACATCTCACGACAGCACACCACAGCGCTGACTATAATAGTGAGCTGCTGTTTGAATTTGAATATCGTTTTCATGTTGCAAAACGATCCTCCTATTGTATGTCAAGGCAAATTTCCACGCGACGGTTTCTCTAATCTTTTGTTGTTTTGGAGAGGCAGTTGCTTTATTTTAGTTAAGTTTAAGTACTCATTTTACGGTAACACAATTAGGTCATGATTAAGTGCCGAAGATTAGAAGTGTTACTAGAGAGTTTTATATTTGGTGAAAAGTTTCCCAGCACTTTCAACACATTAAGATGATATAAGTGCCCGAAGATTAAAGATGTTGCTAGATGGTAAAATAGAAACAAAAGAAGAAAAAAAGATGAGGATGATAGGAAGAAGGAGCAAACCCCACCAGAGCACTCAGCAACCACCCCTTGAATATGAATTCGCTGTTATGTTGTATAATGATCCTTATGCGTGTCACCTTAGTCTCTCCTCGTAGACTTCCCTAATGTTTTGCTGTTATGAAAAGGCAGTCAGTTTGATCCGGGCGACTTTCGGGAAAGTTTCATTGAATGTACAAACGGTGAGGACTTGTGTAAAGTGGCATTATAATTTACTGTGAATTCTGCTACATTATTTCACGCTAGCATTCAATTTAGATTACCTTTTACTTATACACAAGATTACTATCAGCCCCCCCCCT